ATTGAGAAGTTACTGTGCAGTGTGAATGTTGGGCGGAATTCCCTATCATATTGTTGTAGGCCTTACAGAAGCCAGTATGGGTATGACAGTGGCGGTAGCGCTGTCCATAACTGATAACTCACGAGCCGCTGGGGGGGGGGGGGGGGGAGAGGGGCATACAGTTGCCCTCCTCCTTTACCTTTTGTGGAATATCTCCGAAACTTGATGAGCGCTGAGCATGAAACTCAACTATAAATGAGCTAAAGAGCACCTGCCTCCATCGTAAAACATCTAAGTACACTTCCAACTAGTTCTTGACCAATAATCGGTCCTTTTTAATCGGTCTCATACCGATATCCGATATATCGTGAGGAAACTGAGAGACACAAATCTATAATTTGACTTCTGACCTCACTGTGACGTAATTTCAAATGGGATCGACACCAAATGTGGACACGACCTCGGCTAGGTATTCAGAAAGATGTGTGCAAAGTTTCGCTTCTCTATCTCTTCGCGTTACGACGATAACGTTGCAAAAGTAAAGAGGGCAGGACAACTATATGCCCCCCCCCCCCCCCAGCGGCCGGCGGGTGGCGCGGAGGCCCAGCTCCAGCCGGGATAGCTTGTGTGTCGTCTGGCTGTAGTGGCCTCCTATCCACGGTGGCGACCCAGCTCTGCAGAATTTATGCACCTCGTTGCATTTCATGACTCGAAAAGTACACTACATTACACGGGTCAACATCCTAAATGGATGCCAAGGTCCATTCCTCCACTGCGCGGCAGCCATTTCAAAATTAATTTTTCATGACAGCATTAGCGGCAACGAGCCTCGGCTATAGCCCTGCATTAAAATGTCACGCATCACATGTGCATAGTTATGTGGCGACACATTTCTCAGCTCTCTACAACAACGCTGTCCATTTGTCGGCTTATTTCGCAGCAGCATTGTGCGCAAAAATGGGTTTAACCCCTGCCACAAGCCAGCAGAATAAATATGTTCGTAATCACAGTGCCGCTGACTAGGGCTGATAATCCCGGGATCGGGATCCCGGGATCCCGGGATTGAATTAATCCCGAATCCCGGGATTAGAAGCATCGGGATTTCGGGATCCCGATATTTTCCGTACAGAAACATCGTTCATAAAGTGTAGCTGATAGTAGGTATGTAAAAAAAGGTAAGTGAGTAACAACGCATTACAGTGCAGTTTTATGTCCAAAGATCTTACTTACGCCGTGCAAAGTCGTTATGCACAAGTATTGGTTACATATATACCTAATTGACATTGTTTCACACCGTCTCAGCCTTCACAATGTGGCGAGAGACGAGCTCTCTCTCGGCTCATCTCTCGCTCCCCGCGACGTCCCTCGCGTACTCGGTTTAACAGATCATTTTGCACGATGACATACTATGCCGACTATCGAATTCGAGTCCATCGAGTGGGAGGAGGTCGGCCGTCTTCTCTGTGTGACTGTGGGAGCACGTCTGGTGGCTCAGTTACTGTCAGTGCCCCGTGGCTGGACGATCCATGAGGCTGGCCGGGCGCCCTGGGCATGGTTACCGTTAGTGAATAATTATTAATTACGTGCCTTTGTGATAAGCTATAGCTAACTTTGCCAAAATGTCGGATTTTGCTTAATTTAAAGGCAGTGCGGTGTGGGAACATTATCTAAGAAGTCAAGATGGCCACACAGCAAAGTGTCGTCTTTGTAAAAAGGTACTGAAAATATCTGGAGGTTCCACCAAAGGACTTCACGTCCACCTCAGGAGCAAGCATGGTGGTATGAGTGTTGCTGGACCATCCCGATCCGGAGAGACGCCGCAAAACGTGTCCGGCGAAGGTCAAGATGAGAGCGCTAAAACCACGGCACCGCATCTAAAAGGAATGAAGACCTTAGATTGCTACTATGTTTCCAAAACGGACGACGACCTGGATGCTATCCTAGCTAGAATGTGCGCGAGAGATGGGATACCTTTTACAGTTTTCTGTACCTCACCGGACCTACGCGGACTTTTGGCTGCTAAAGGATATAAAAACCTTCCAACCCATCACAACACGATCCGCCGGCGTGTCCTCAAACACTGTGCTCGCCTGAAGTGTGACGTGAAGGCGAAGCTGGCCGAAGAATTGTCAAATGGCAAACGGTTCTCACTTACGATCGACGAGTATACGTCCCTGAAAAACCGTCGCTATATGAGCGTGACTGTCCACTGCGAAGGTAACATGTGGGGTCTCGGTGTCGCGCGTTGTCACGGATCGATGCCAGCAGAGAAATGTCTGGATCTTCTGCAGGGCAAGCTGGCAGAATTTGGCCTTGAACTCAGTAAGCACGTCACCTGCGTCACAACCGACGGAGCTTCGGTGATGGTGAAATTCGGGAAGTCACTGCCATGTGAGCACCAACTCTGCTTCGCACTGTTCACCTCGCCGTTGTCGACGCTCTGTACTCGGGTGACGCCGGGCAGACCTCTGAACAAGCAGATGACGACCGTGGTGGTGGTGGACCTAACCAGGTGAGCTTAGTATACAATTATGCATACATCTGATATAGGCACCTAGCGTGAAAATAGAATAACAGTGACGAAATGGTAGAAAATTGTGCACCAAAGTTCGTATCATTTACTGTGCGATTTCACTTCATAAGAGTCAAAGAACAAACAACATTTCACCCAGAGAACAAGGCTTAAGAGCATCGAGCTCAGTTTCATCCGCATCGCGCAATTACTCTCCTTAAAGCATAAAGAATCGTAAATCTTCATCTACAAATAATCCGAGGAGCCAACACAGCAGGATGACCCCTTAATATATGTACATCTTATATAGATTAATAAGGTAAGGATATTGTCGCCTTGCAGGTGAACTCGTCAGATGAATCCGACGGTGATGACGAGGATGAGGACGACAACGTGGAAGAAAACACTACTGGTGCTACTGGTCACCACGAACTACATAGTTCGCTCTCTCCAGTCGTTAAAAGCATTAGAAACATTGTCCGCTGGTTTAGAAAATCGCCCGTACGAAATGAAGTCCTTCAGAAATACGTCAGAGAGGAGCGTGGGCAGGAACTGATGCTAGTGCTAGACTGTAAAACCCGATGGAATAGTTTGTATGACATGCTAGAACGATTTGATAACCTCAAAGCAGCTGTCCACAAAGCACTCATTGACATAGGAGACAAACGTATGAAAATGATCGATGATTATGAATACGCCGCCATACCTGCGCTCATTCGCTGCCTGAGAATCATGAAACTCGGAGCAGAAGCGCTATGCAGGAGAGAAAGTGGACTATTGGAGGCTGAAGCTGCTCTAAAGTTTATGTTAAGCGCGCTTGACAAGGAGGACTGCGCGATTGCATGTAAACTGTCTGATGCGTTGAAACAGCGCATCCGACAGAGACGGTCACGTGCGGCTTAAGTCCTACAATCGCTCCATAACAAAACGTCGGCAGACAGAGACTGGAAAGATATTTTTCCTAGTGCCTCTCGCAAGGAAGCACAGGACTTAGTTGTCCACATGATGGAAAGATTGGGAGAACAGATGCATGATACCGAAGTAGGTGTAGATACAGAAGTGATGGACGCTGATGATCCTGAATCAGCGCCGTCTCTTCAGTCGATGCTTCAACAAGCTCTAGATGAGGTTAGAGCTCCAGAGCAAGGCACCAGTTCATGCCCGTCTGGGATTAACTTTTCGCAATCTTCTCTGATGATGACGAAGGCCATAAGGAAAGAATTGGAAAATTTACCTATCTCAGGAAGGACAGGCATGGTAGCGCTGTCCTACAACTGGCTGAAGGGCATAGTTCCTACGAGCGTTGAATCGGAACGAGTGTTTTCCACTGTCGGGAATATCGTCACAAAAGTGCGGTCGAGTCTCGGCGACGAAGTCGTTGATGCACTTTGCTTCCTCAAGTGCTACTACCGTAACAAGTGAATGTGACCAGGACATGCTGCTGGTCAGACGACCACAATCCGTAGGCACGTCTACTGTATCCTGACTCGAAATATAAACAAGAAATACAATGATCAATGTCATTCATGCTCTTATATTTGTTCGGGGTGAAGGTGTATGCCTGTTATTGTGTTTATGATGGTAAGGATGCGCCATATACATACGATATTGCAAGAAAATTCTGCTTTGTAGACAGGTTAAAATAAAAACTGCTCAATCGCGGGATCCCGGGATATCCCGGGATTGCATTTCTAAAAACCCGGGATCCCGGGATTGCCAAAAAGTCCCGGGATTATCAGCCCTACCGCTGACAGTCTCCCTCCCTCCATGACCTGCTCTCCAGCTCTTCGGCTCTCCGCTGGTCTCTGCCGTCCACTGCCGGCCATTTCCTCTGGACCCTCTCCGAGACAGGTCCACTGCACGTAAACTGTCCACTCCAGCACATATCACGGATCAGCGTCCTCGACAGAGCCCCACAGCCACTCCCAGTAATGGGACGGTTTGAGGAAAGGCGTCTGGCGCGGAGAAATGACACGGAAAGGCCACGGAAAGCTTACCTTACCTCGTAGCCTTAGTCGGATGAAATGCGCAGTGGACCTCGTACTGTAGCCTCTCGAACGTTACGACTGAATAAATTGTAAAAGAAAGAAATGGTGTAAAGTATTTGTTACTTATTTTAATAAGTTGTGCAACTATTGAACTCTTTGTTTATTTTTTTTTTCGAGCGTAGCTATCAGTCCAACAGGGTGTTTTAGCCTACCGTAGGTATAACCAGCTTTGTAAATACATGAGAGGTAACAAGTGTGAGTTATTGTCAGCTGTGTCGGTATTTGTCCGGCTGTGGCACTCTGCTCCTGTCTCTCGACCCGACTGCACTGTGAATCAGTGACAGGAGCGCCGGCGGGCCCACATGCCTCTATAATTACCGATTCAGGTGTGACGGCCGTCCCCGTACCGCCAGCCGCGCCCCAGCCGCGGTCCGGGTCGGGCTCAGAGGTCGCACAAGGCCGCAGTTGTCCGCCCCAGTGCGACACAAGTGTGGCCGGCTCTATATACCGTGGTGGCCGGCAGACGGAGCCGGGCGCGGGCAGGGCGCGGACGGTGCGGCCTCCTGGTGGCTAGGGTGACGGAACGGTGACCGGTCAGGACTGGCCGTGAGGTGACGGGGAGTGGAGTGAGGAGGGAGCCGGCGGCCGGACCGCCGCAGCGCTGCCGGACGGTAACAGGGCTATCGGCGCGGAAACCAGCCCGTTATTACGTCGATGAGCAGCACTGGCTAACACCCCGGCCCTGTGTTTGTGGGGTGAGTGAAAACCCGAAGCTGCCTGGCTGTCGTTATACAGAAGGTCGGGTCTCCGAGGCTCCACCGGGGCAAATGTAAGCCGAACCGCTAGCTGCTGGACGCTGGATGCTAGCTGCTGGATGCTAGCTGCTGGATGCTAGCTGCTGGATGCTAGCTGCGAGCCGCCTGAGTCTGGACCATGGGCGCGGCGTCATCGAAGAAGGCCACCGCGGAGCAAGGGGCGGTCGTAGGAAGCCCCGAGAAGAGCACGGACTATGGAAGCATCAGAGAGTCTCCCGGCCCCGACAAGGCAGACGGAGAGACAGCGGAGCCACAGCAGGAGGCAGTGAGCGAGTCAATACTGGAGACAGACAAAGCGGCGGGGGTAGAACCGCCGAAACAGGAGGGTAAAAGTGTCAGCAAGGAAACGCTCGTCGAGAAAAAGCGTGAGTATCGCTGTATTGCAGCTAAGCGGGAAAATTAGACGTTATGCATTTGTGATAATACCAGTACCTACTTAACTTATTTTCAGGACCGATGTTGTCCGAGTATTTGTGCGCAAATTAGTGATTGCGATTAGCGTTTGATGATCGTGCCTTGTTTCAGGCGAACCGCATGCCTACGATCCCGACTTCAATGGGCCGATCAAGCAAAGGTCGTGCACAGACATCCTTTGCGCCATTCTCTTCATTGCCGTACTCATAGCATGGGGAGGCATCACAATATTCGGTGAGCATTGGAGATAGGGTTCGCCGATGGCAGTGGTCTTAGCGTAAATGTATACGGAATGCCACAGTGGCCATTTTGTCATTTTATTACATTTGCGCCTATGTCGTTATAGCGGCTAGAAGAGAGTGTTGTGTTTTTGTGCCTTCTGCTTATAGCATATAACATAAAATTTAATTTTAGATTAAGTGCATTTTTTAGATTTTGCGCATAAGTGCATAATTTTAGATTTTTGCGTTTTCTTGGTAAATGTAGGTTGAGAAGTATACCACAAGGCACAAGGCAGCAAAACAGCCTAAATGCAATGAATCATGAGTTCAAGCCCGGCTTTGCACATCTCATAATTTTGGCGCAGTAAATCAGACTTAGCGCCTAATCGTGTCCGTTCTGCCTTTCCAAGCGGCTGTCAGTCTCGCGGTGTGCGGGCTGAGCCGGGCTGTCGGTGCCCGGTGGTGTCACTGACCACAGTCATAGAGACGGTGCGGCCAGCAGCACATTGTTGGCACGGCCTGGGTCACAGTCGCCGAGCCGTGCGTCGCCCCGGGCGCCGTCTCTGCCAAAACGGCGAAAGGGTCAACCGGCTAACTGACAAACGGATTGCCGAGTGGCCCACGAACTCTTTGTTTGAGGCCAATCACCCTGACAACAGTGTTTTCATGTGTTACACTTTCAGACCGTGTAAGGACAAGTGATAATGATGTCCTTTTGGTGGCCCCTGGCGTGAAATTATGACTCATAATCGTCGTGTGTTTTCAGCGCTGCTCTATGGGGACCCGCAGCGTTTGCTGTCACCCACGGACACGGCGGGGAAGAAGTGCGGCTTCGATCCCGGCGTGGAAGAGAAGCCGTACCTGCACTTCTTCGACATATCCAAATGCGCCAACCCCATAGTGTTTTTAGCAGGATGCCCGACTCATCAGGTATGAGGGGATCAACGATATGTTCCAAAAAGTATTTGAGGTGCATATGCGGCTTCGATTTTTGCAGATGTTTCTGGGGAATTAGACAAGTGGCAATTGACATAAAGTATCCTTCAATGTGTACTTTTGATGCATCTGCTCTTTTAGATCTGTCCAATTTTTCTTATTATCATCCTAATCCTAACGTACAAGCGCTTGTGATCTTGCAGCGCAGCATTTTGTTGCCATCCACGGCACACATTTCTCCCTCAGGTCTGCGTGAACGAATGTCCGAGCACCAACTTCTTCGCCACGCCATTCGGCGCCAAGGAGGAGCTCTGCGTGGAGGAGGTGCGTCGCCGGTTCTACTGCGTGCCCGGTGTGAACGCCACGGAGCGCAGCACTGCAGGGAGCTTCACCCGCACCTGTCAGAGCCTGCTGCAGCGCGACTGCGCCCCCTACACCGTCTCCAGCGCTCCCAGTAAGGAGGGGGCCAGGCTGGGCTGGCTGGCCGCGTCATAAGCGACAAACCGAGTGTGAGAGCTGTTTGTGTTTTTGGCTGTCTTCTCCAAAACTCGTACTTAATAACACTTGTCATTCAATCAACAGCGTTTTGCGATTTGTTGCTGCACGTTCTAAAGATGCCCATGCATTAGCCTACCACACTGCAATTGGGGGACCCAAAGCAGAGATGACCTTTGTCCGTTGTCCATTGATGCTGTCTGGTGTTATTGACCGATGGGGCAGCTGGTGTGCCTCTGTGGGCCGCCGATGGTGCTTAGACACGCGTATTATCGCCAGTCGCATGTACATATGTACATTGTCCACCGGTGACCAGACACGTGTATAATGACCTAACGCATGTCCTGATGACCAGAGGCGCTCTGTCTGGCCCGCAGTCATGGGACGGTGCGTGCCCACGCTCGGCTTTCACCAGGCAGTGAACGGCACGCTGGTCGACAGCAATAACAAAACCATGGGCGACCTGACCCTCGACAAGATACTGGACGCCTGCAAAAATCTCGGCGCCGTCCTCAAACTGAAAGGGGTATGTGAATTAGCGGGGTTTTATTACGCAAAAACTTATTTCTTATTGCCGGCAAAGCTTCTCTTGACCGTTTAATAAATGTGTGGTTGATAGGTGTTCATATTGAGATGTTTGATTCATTTATGCGCTAGTCAGGGTATTCGTATGCGGTATGTACCTACATAGATTGATCGTCGCTAACCTGTTCTCTGCGCGCTCCACAGTACAGCGAGGAGATCGGTAAGGACTTCCAGTCGTCCTGGTGGGTGATAGTGACGGCGCTGATCGTCTGCATGTGCGTCTCCCTGCTCTGGATCCTCCTGATGCGCTGGATCACTCCCGTCATGGTCTGGGTGTCGCTCTTCGGATCGCTCGCCGCCATCATCTACGGGTAATTGTCCTATTCTGAGCACTGTACGGGCTCTAGGATATTCGGTGTTTATCGTCAAGATATTTGGTCACTGGGACTGCTAGCGTTTTGATATCGGTATATCAGTCACTTCGTCAACTATGACTGTTTCCTTTTATTTGATCAAGTCGGAGAAAGAGCTACACCCACTGTAGTTGACACTTGGACGCTGTATAGCGCATGTTCAAGCGTCTGCTCAGCCCATTGTTTTCGCGTCACCCCGTCGTTCTCTCTCGGCTCCGGCAGGTGCGTCTACACATACCTGCGATACGACTACCTGCGTCAGGAGCAGTCGGCGCCTCCGTCGGCCGGCGACGAGCGCGCGCTGACGGTGCGCGCCTTCACGGCCAACGCCGGCTCTCTACTGGCCGACAAGGACACCTGGCTGGCCTTCTTCATCGTACTGGTCGTGCTGGGCGTCATCCTGCTGCTGCTGATCGCCATCCTCTTCAAGAGGCTCCGCATCGCCATCGAGGTCATCGAGGAGGCCAGCAAGTGAGGACAGGAGCAGGCTTGGTGGAAGGGATGATCGACTCTCCTCTTTGTCTCGCTCTCTTTAGTCACAAATTGCCTTTCCTCGCCTTCGATGGAAAGAGAGCTATTTCTTGTCTTTCTGGCGTATGTAGCTTTTATGTCTTTTGCAGAGCGTGGCATGTCTTTGCTGTGTGACATGTGTAAGCTGTGTGACCTGTATGACCCGTGTGACCTTTGTTACCTGCGTGTGTGGACGCATGTGACCCATGCTACATGTGTGACCCATTATAACACCCGTGTGACCTGTGTCGGCAGGGCGGTGACGTCGATCCTGACCACGCTGCTGTACCCGCTGGTACCCTGGCTGATGCAGCTCGCGGCCATCGTGTTTTACGCCACGCTCACGCTCTACGTGGCCTCGATGGGCACCTCTGAGTACCGCGTGACCGCGCTGCCCGACGACTGTCCCGAGAGCTGCGGCCGGTTCCAGGTGGGACTGGGCGGACATACAGTGTACACAGAGGACACAGTCTGGGACAGGGTACACCGAGAGGACGGGCCAAAAACCGGGTCCGGGACGGGCGCAAGAAGCGGGACAGGTCGGGTTCACAGAGGGGACAAGCCTTACGGAGATGGGGGACGGTGTGAGGACACGGAGTGGGACGGGCAGGGACGGGACATAAAGGAATAACTGATTTGTGGATATTTTGTTCACAGATGAACGCGACCTGCGATCCGGACATGTTCCAACAAATCTGTCAGAGACAGTGTGCAGACGCCGAGTGCAGCTTCTTCGGATACAAAAAGTTCGACTGCATTCCCTACATTCACGTGAGTTGCCACTACTGCCACTCTATGTACTGAGTCAACATGGGCATATAATTGCAGCGTAATAAACAATCGTTTGCAGAATCCGTACCTGTTTGTCCGTTTTACTACACCCTGAAGGATCCTCTCTCCTCTACAGTTCTACAACCTGTTCTGCCTGCTGTGGGTGCTGTTTTTCGCCTCTGCGATGGGTGAGATGATCCTGGCCGGGGCGTTCGCCGCCTGGTACTGGACGTTCGACAAGTCCAAGAACCTGCCGACCACGCCGCTGCTGGACAGCGCCGGCAGGACTCTCAGGTGAGGACCCAGGGAGTTAGAGTAGGCTGGGTAATGCGCTGTAACAGGGTCAGGGACATCATTTCCGATTTAGCTGGGTGCGCCGGTACCGACCAACACTTGTCCACCAATCATGTTTTTAGGCTTTAATTCCAACTAACAACTAGCTCTCATAACCATACAGGCACTTTCCTCCCAAAAAGTACCTACATGAACGATTTTTAGTAGTGACTGTCATGGACACATGCTATAATAACGAAATAGCCAAGTAGTTCTGTTTATGCAATCCTCTTTTACCTCAGATACCACATTGGAACACTGGCTTTTGGATCTCTGATCATCGCAATAGTGCGCCTGATCCGTCTGATTCTTGACTATATCCAGAAGAAAGCACAGAAATATCCGGGCAGTGAGGTGAGTGTATCTGAACAATGAACGATGAGACCTTTCATGTTTCAGTAATAAGCTAAGCTAAATGACCCTGATTAATTAACGCAATGTTTCCTTTTCTCCTGAAGCAAATTGGTTACTGCACCCACCTCGGTCATTGAACATATTAATATTAATCAGTATTAATCACAGATATTGCATTGGAAGTTAAGCGTTTGGATCTCTGATCGTTGCAGTATGTGTGCCTAACCCACCTGATTCTCGACGACATTAATCGTTGATCTACACGTATATTCTTGTCGACCTCTAATCAATGAAAACGATGATTATTGTTCTTCCTTTCCAGGTCGTTAAAGCTATTCTGTGCTGCTGCAAGTGCTGCATGTGGTGTCTTGAGAAATTCTTGAAGTTTATTAACAGGTATGTAAGATCCATATTATACTCCAAAGAGTGATCCTATTTAGCGGGTTAATTAAATCTCCGTTTACAAAATGAGTCGCTCAATTTTGTATGACAGATTAAACTCAATTTGCATTCTTCATTGCATGTGTTACATCAACATCTGGCATAGAAATCGTTGTCGTTGTCGACATACGAAGCAGAATGGTGGTATTGTTAGCTGTTGAGTTCGTCATTGACATTTCTGCTGGTGGTAAAAACACCGTAACATTGTTACAGGAATGCCTACATTATGTGCGCCATATACGGGAAGAACTTCTGCACCTCTGCCAAGGACGGCTTCAACTTGCTGATGAGAAACATCCTGCGTGTGCTGGCCGTCAACTCGGTTCGTGTGTCTGCCTTGATGCAGTCTTTACTGCTCTTGATTAAAATTGTGCAATGCAAATGAGATCTGTGCGAGTATTTAGAAGCATCTAACAGGCACCGCCGTCTGTTACCGGTGCCCCTCCCCATCAAGTGACCTGACCCACCGCTGCGTACCCACCCCCGGCAGGTGTCCGGTGCCCCTCCCCATCAAGTGACCTGACCCACCGCTGCGTACCCACCCCCGGCAGGTGTGCGACTTCCTGCTGTTCCTCGGCAAGGTGCTCATCACGCTGGGCGTCACGGTCGGCTCGTTCTACTTCCTCGACAGCCGGATCCCGATCGCGGGCCTGGAGACGGTGGTGCCGTCCACCAACAGGCCGTGGCCGCCCACATTCACCATCGCCATCGGCTGCTACTTCATCACCTCACTCTTCTTCAGCGTCTACGAGATGGCCGTCGACACCATCTTCCTCTGCTTCCGTGAGTGACGCCGACACCCAGAGTTTGGTACGGCAGTGTTCTCTCTATTTGTTACATGTTCCAGGATATTATGTGCTTATTTTCGCTAGATGAGTAAAGCTGTGACGTTAACCCGCGCCCCACTGGGGTCTGCGTATAACACGCCCTACTGGGGGGGGGGGGGGCTCTTAATAGCCCCCTCCTAACTCCGAAACTACTAGGCTGATCGTCAAAATTCAAACGGCGTCTGATAGCCCCGGAAAAACTGTCGAGCGAAACCTAATTTCATTGACCTCGAGGTCACCGATGACGTCACAGGTCAGGTCAAAGTAAAGATTATTAGCATTTTGGCTTGTTCACATTTTTGGGCTCTGGCCGCCGTCTTACAAGTCAGATCAGGCTCATTTTTGGTTTACACACTCGTAAACAGATGCTCTAGATACCCTGAGGGTACCAAACTTGTACTTTGATTTTCAGGTCAGGGTCAGGTCATCACAGGTCACGGAAATATTATATCATGCGTCGGTCACGTGACACATGTTTTATGGTTCATTTAGGCCATAGATTTCGAATTTGATGTCGTTTGTGTCATTCGAGGTCATTTTGAGTCGAATTTAGCGTAGGTCAGGTCACTTTCAGGTCAAAAAAGGTCAAAATTTGAAGTTAAAATTTTCAACAAAAAGGTGTCTATTGCATGCAGTTTGAGCTCAGGAACACGATGGTGGTACTATTTATATTGGTGTACGATGTCAAATACGTACTAAAAAATTGATTTGAAATTAATAATTGTGATTTTTTTTGCAATAATGCGTATAACTTTGCCATTTTTGAAGATATTTAGCTAAACCTTGCTAGAGTTAGTCCTAACTATGCGTTCTATCACATACATTCCGTTTTTTTTGAAAAGTCAAAAGGTTTTTGAAAAAAAAAATATAAATTTTGCATTTTATTATATACAAATTTCGAAATTTTCAAAATTCTGAAAGTCCGAGATGGCTGTTTCATAGCGCAATCTATTCTGAGTCCTTTCATTCAAAGAAATTGGATCTAGCTTAAAAACTGAGCTCTTGGGAGCGATTGCCGTGGTCCAATGTTTTGCATCGAAATCGGCCGAACATGACGTCACTCTGACGTCATTTCCGGCCGACCTATGGTAGCTACGAAGTTCATATTTTAAGGCAAGGTGTCAAATTGATGCAGCCGAAGGTACTGAAAGTTTGGCATCGATACGTCAAGCGGTTTGGAAGTTATTGCAGAATGCAGAAAAACGGGAGGGGGCTATGAATAGCCCCTTCCCCCCAGTGCAGCGCGGGTTAAACGGTAGCCTTTAATGTTAATTTTATCACGTAATTTTTCTCCCTGAAATTTTCTGTACGAACCTACAAATAACGAGGGTATAGCTGGAGGAATAAGCCTTTTTCAATTCAAGCCTTTTTCAATTCAAGTGGACAACGTATCCGAGTAGACACCATTAAACGCCCCACTTACGCGTGACACGGTGATTCGTATCTTTCACAGTGGAGGACATTGAACGGAATGACGGATCCGCCGACAAGCCTTACTTTATGTCGAAGGACCTTATGAAGCTGATTGGAAAGAAGAACAAAGTGCCGTCCAAGACCTCGTAGCTCGGTATTGTATGTACATGTCTGCATTATTGCTCGGCAGCTTAATTTTTTCAGGGATTTGAGTAGCCGGTAAAGTGCGGCATGGTGGCCGACATGGTGCGGCATAGTATCTGGTATACACTGGTTCTGAACTCTGAAGGTACGAACTTGGCCCAGCTGGGATCAATTAATTATTGGGGACGCATTAGCAGAATTTATATGCAGTACAATAGACCTCAATGCTAGGTGCAATAGAAAATCTATTTTCAATGCGTATTCTTTCTCCCTCATGTTTCCCCGATAATGTCATCAGTGGGGTACGGCCACCCAGGGGCGGATCCAGGAAAACTCCAAGGGGAGGGTCATGAATCGAAGTGGTGCCCCTACCTATACCCAAAATTAAAAACTCAACGGATTTCGTCCACTTCATTTTGGTGGTGCCCCCATTTTCAGTTTTTTCTTTTTATTTTTATTTTTAGTCAGTATCTTAACTCTTAGCCACAACCACATTTACCAATTGTGAGCAAGTATATATGAATGTGCTATGTGTATATATGTTGTGGACGCTGAGTAGTGAGTACTTACCAGGAACGTTATCAGGTAAGCAAATCGTTGTCAGTCCGACGAACTTGACCCTGGCGTCTAAAGGGTCTGTCCTTGACACTTCAGGCTTGTCAGGGGCACCAAAGTCCTTCCAGGGACACCACAAACCTGTCAGGGGCACCTACGGCCTTGTAGGGGCGCCACAGGCCCGCCAGGGGCACCACAGGCCTGCCAGGAAGCAGGGGCACCACAGGTCTAGCAAGTATACACGACAGGCCTGTCAGGGGCACAACGGGCCTGTTGGGCCCATGAGCACCCCTAGGGGCAGGGGTCCTTCCAGGGGCACCGCAGGCCTGTGAGGGACACCAGCGGCCAAGCAGGGGCACCAGTCAACACAGGCCTGCCAGGGGCACCACAGACCTGCCAGGGGCACCAGAGGCCTGCCAGGAGCACCACCGACCTCGCAGGGGTAACTTTGGCCTGTCAGGGCCCAGGGGCACCACGGGCCTGTCGAGAGGCACTTCAGGCTTTTCAGGGGCACCATAGTCCTCTCCGGGCGCAGGGGTAGCAGGGGCACCAGAGGCCTGCCAGGGGCACTACAGGCCTAGCAAGGGCACCACTGGTCTATCAGGGGCACCACGAGCCTGTCATAGCCAGGCATCTCAGGCTTGTCAAGGCCCAGAGGCACCACAGGTCTGTGAGGGGCACCAGCGACCTAGCAGGGGCACCAGTCAACACAGGTCTGCCAGGGGCGCCACAGACCTGCCAGGGGCACCACAGACCTGCCAGGGGCACCAGAGGTCTGCCAGGGGCACCACCGGCCTCGCAGGGGCACCTTGGGCCTGTCAGGGGCACCACGGGCCTGCCGAGGGGCACTTCAGACTTTTCAGGGGCACCAGTCCTCTCCGGGCGCAGGGGTACCAGCGGCCTAGCAGGGGCACCAGAGGCCTGCCAGGGGCACCACAGGCCTAACAAGGGCACCACGGGCCTGCCAGGGGCACCTCAGGCTTGTCAGGGCCCAGGGACACCACAGTCCTTCCAAGGGCACCGCAAGCCTGTCAGGGGCACCAGAGGCCTGCCAGGGGCACCACAGGCCTAGCAAGGGCACCACTGGCCTGTCAGGGGCACCTCAGGCTTGTCAGGGCCCAGGGGCACCACAGTCCTTCCAGGGGCATTACAAGCCTGTCAGGGGCACCAGAGGCCTAGCAAGGGCACCGCAGGCCTGCCATGGACACCACAGGCCTGCCAGGGCACCACCGGCCTTGCAGGGGCGCCTTAGGCCTTGCAGGGGCGCCTCAGGCCTGTCAGGGGCACCACGTGCCTGCCGGGGACACTTCAGGCTTGTCAGGGGCGTTACAGTCCTGTCAGGGCCCAGGGGCACCAGGCCCGTGGTGTCCCTGCTAGGCCTGTGGTGCCCCTGGCGGTCGTGTGGTGCCCCTGCCAGGCCCAGGACTGTGATACCCCTGATAGGCCGGTGGTGCCCCTGGCAGGTCTTTGGGCCCCCGGGCCTCAAGGGGGGGCCATGACCCATGTGACCCCCCCCTTGGATCCGCCCCTGCGGCCACCAGTTACCCCTAAATTAATGACGGAGCCTGTAGCGTTACCAGCGCCACCTCGAGTTCCGGACCAGAATCGATATAGGAGCCGCCTTCGTTGCCGTGTGATGCTGAAAATCTGTCCGCCGCCGCACCTGAGTGCCGGTTGTCTACAAAGAAGAGGTATCGATTTTCTTTAGCCGGGAAGGCACTGTGCTTCTGTTGTGCTGCCTGTGTCGTGTTGTGGTGTAGGCGTTGTTTGTCTGTGATGCGGCGCTAAGCTGCGCTGATGTATCTAACAGGGTTGTGAACGCTGTTCGCCAGCTTTGGAGGCATATTTGTCACGGAGAAGCCTTCTAACTAACTGCCAGGTCCGAGCTGACGCGAGGTTTCCGAGATGGAAGCGATACATTTGTTTCAAGACAGAAGCATGAGCTTATGGACGTTAGGAACGACAAAAAAGAAGGACGAATGCAACACGAATGTCAGGGAGTCTGTACAGCGCAGCAGTATTGCTTTGTTCTTTGAAGTAGTTTTTTTTGTGTCCGGTGTGTTGAAGCAAGAATTGTGCGTGTTTTGCGGGAGCAGGCGGTTATTTATGTTTTCACTGATATTATTTCGATGTTGAACGGGCACTTGCTGTGGATGGCAGAAATCCGAGATCAATGCCCAGTTCGCTACACTGTGCCAGGCACCCTGATTCTCTGTGTGATGAGACACTACTACTATGAACGCCTCGTGAGCATAGATAATAGCTAGATTTTGGATTTGTGCAAACGCACCTTGTGCTCCGCTGGCTGTGTTACCAAGAAATGGACATAAACTCTGCTGTGGTATAGGAGACATCGTGTTCCTGTTTCGCCGCTCACTCGCCCTCAGCCCTTGCTGCACCCAAAATACTGTGGGTTATCTCGCGAATCTCGGACACATTACTCATGAAGAATATATATTGCTGAAATTGTGAAACATATGACATCATCGCGACTTCATGACACCGCCTGCAAGTCAAGCCTCACGAACGAAAGGCTGACTGAGTTGCCCTCAGTTGCTCATGCGTTTGATCACCTGTTTTTGATTGCGAGGTAATCGTACACACTCGTACATATAACACACTGCTCCAGTGAGCTTGATGGTTTGGAAGTAGTGGATTAACCCTCGCCGGCCGAGGGGGGGGGGGGGCGGGTGCCGCCCCCCCCATAGGGTTTTTTCGCGATAGCTCCGAACACGCTGGCGATAGAGAGCTGAAACTTGGCATACCTGACCTTTGATCCAAGCCGCATCTTTTGACACCAACCGCATTTTTGGGTCAGGTCAGGTCACTGACCTATGACGTCATAAGTGAACCTCTGCACGGTCTTCAGATGTCGCAACTTCGCAACGCCCTCACTGCCAGAGGAGATGTCACAGGGAAATGAAACTTGCAGGATCTAGTATCCATTATGAGTCCCACAACTTGTATATCTCGGATTTTTCCTAAAGGTCATATGAGGTCAGGTCATTTTCGTGACCTCACCATTATAAGTCAATGGGGAAAAATTCAAACTGCTATTCTGGCGCCGGGAACGATCTCCAACTATCTCAAGCACACAGAATCGTGATTTGATGCACTCCTTGCAAGGTTAGATGCGTCACTTTTGCAATGTTGACCTTGCGTGACGTCATTTATGACGTCATCAAGGTCAAATTAGTTTTTCGTCAATAACTCTTGATCAAATTGAGCTAGCGAGTCGGGAAAGGCACCAATGGACTCAGGAAGGCCTGCCGAATCGAATGATATGCGACATGACCTCTTTCGACCAACTTCGTGACCTGGGGGTGCTGACCTGACCTTGACCTGAGGTCAACACCCCAAGTTGACCTGACCCGGACAAAAAGTATATCATTCGACGCGCCTGAGCGAGGCGAACACGATGCTGCCAAAATCGGCGCTCTGCGGCCGTTTTTTGCGAAGTTATTCACCAAAAACTGAACCGTACCCTGGGGCACTTGACCTGACCTCAGAGGTCACCGGTTGACCTAGGACCTTAAAATCGGGTACCAATCTCTGCGTCTCGTAACGGCGCACACGCTCGTTTTTTCCGCGACGCGCTAGCTCCACCAGGGGCGAAACGGCGAGGGGGGGGGGTCGTACCCGCCCCCCCCCCTCGGCTGGCGCGTATGTAGAAAACCAATAGGTCCGGCGAGGGTTAATGAAAATGCATAGGTAATTAAAATTTGCATTGCATAGTAAGGTAAAGGGTGATCTGACAAGTATTCGGTAAAGCATCGTATTTTATTAGTGGCTAGGTAAAAAGGGAAATATGTATTTTCCTAAGAAGCAGTTAAAATTATTGGTCTTGTAAGGTCATAGGGATTCGGCAGATAGACGGAGTTTGCGCGTGCATTGCAGACTAAAAAAAGAAGTCCTGTTAGTGAATGATTCAGCTGTTAAGCTGTGAGATTAAGAAAACAGCTCATTAATAGGTATTTACATTTCCAGCAGGGAACATTCGCTATGTTACTTACATGATAAATACTGGTGAGAGTGACAAATATTTGGTTTTAGAATAAGAAATCTCACATTGTCTTATCACGAATCACTAGCGCCCCTATCACGATAGAAACAACCTCAGGTAATACAAAAAGGACACAGATCAGTACTGGTGAACAGCTTCCGTGCAACACGGCCATCGATATGCAAAGTCCACTCGACTCACTTCACGATCGGGGTATTTTTCTACCCCCCCCCCCCCGACCTCAGGTCAGGTGATATGTCAGCCCGCTCCCACCCACCAGACCCCAGGTGGCCCCGTCTGCAGATCCGCAGCGGCAGGCACGTGACCTCTCCCGGGCAGCCGGCGCCCTCTGGTGTCCGGTCACGTGACCTCCCTGGGGCTGCTGGCGTCCACTTCAGTGAGGGCTCGGCCGCTCCGTCCGTCCGCCAGGGCGCCGATTCCCACAGTCTGGCTGTGCAGACCTGTCCCTCGGCCGGACTCCGCCGAGTCCGAGTCGTCTGACCCGGAGTCCGGAGAGGTCACCGGCGGCTCCGGGCGCGCTCCGGGTCGGCCGCGGCCAGTGTCCGTGACCTGCAGCGCCGTCTGGGGAGAGCGGCGAATGTCATCAGCGCCACCTACCTCAGCAGCGTCCTCTACATGTGTCTCACAGAGTGAGGGGCCCAGAGGCATGCCCTGGACAGGTAGCGTGCCTGTCGGCTGTCTGCGCGTATGTAAAACATCTTTGATCTGAGGTAAGCCGTATATATAGTTCGCAATCGTCAAGGTGTGTGTTCTCCCCGGCCCAGAATGGACCGTATCTGTCTGGGTGGGGATTCTTTCCGGCCGGGAATGGGTCAGATCTGTCAGGGCATGTGTCCTCTCCTGCCCAGGATGGGTCGTGTCTATCTGGGATCCTCCCCTGCCCAGAATGAGGTCGTAGTTCGTACATACCTGTCTGGTTGTGAGCCCGCTGACTGCCAGCGTTAGGTGGGTGGGACTGCCCGCGCCGGGCCGAGGGCTGCCTACACCAGGCCAGTGACTGCCCGCGTGGGGCTGAGGGCTGCTCGCGTTAGGCCGGGGGCTGGCTGAGGTAGCCGCCGAGGCCGGCCCGTGCCCTGAGAGCTGCTGCAGCTCCAGGTAGATGCAGCGTTTCAGCTCATCCGTCACCTGAACCTCGTCACAGTCACCGTCAATCTGTGGGCGGGCATCTCTTTGTCAGTCACAGACAATCTGTGAACCTGATTGTGAACGCCGTCATTTAGGTACGTTCAAAGAGAGAATGAAATTCAGCGGAAATGGCTATGAGCGTTTATCCGTGTAATTCATTTCATAATGGCCTCAAATAACATGTATATAACAATTTGTTATGTTAACCCGCGCCGTGCTGGTGGCCTGAACTTTCCGCCGAGTGCTGGGGGGGGGGGGGGGGCGTTTTCACGCCCCCCGTCTAACTCGGCTCCTGGGCCACGTAGCGACACGCGGTAAGCGGCAATCGAAAGAGCGTCAAAAATAAGGACGAAAACACTTCGGTCATTTTTTGGGTCAGGTCAAAGGTCAGGTCACCAGAGGTCACCAAAGGTAAAATGTTGACTATTTCAACATTTTGGAAACTGCCAACGGCTATCTCGGGAACCGATAGAGCTACAGCGCCGCGGAAAAGCGCATTCGATAGCCCTTTTACAGACCTTTCTGAGTAATGTCCTCAGATTTGACCTCAGGTCAACGGTTTAGCCTCTAGAGGGCAAAAACTCCAAAAATAGCCGTTTTTACGAAAAACGTTTTTTCGTCAATAACTTTTGACTCATAAGCGCCATGACATTACTTTTGCCAGCATCGTGTTCCTCTCGTCGAGACGCGTCGAATGAACTATTTGTTGACCTTGAAAGGTCATTTTGAAAATTTGACCTCAGGTCAAGGTCATGACCTGACCGAAAAGGGTCATGTTGCATATCAGTCGATCCGTATCGTCGAGCTGAACACATCTGACGTGTTTTCACCGCTCTAGCACGTCTCTATCAAAAGTTATAGCCAAAAAACTGCTGGCGACCGTTCATGACCTGAGATGACCTCAGGGGCACACAGAGGGGTCACAGGTGCATTTTTCCTATTCAGTGTGTCATGTTTACCTATGAACCGATGTTTGAGAGCGTTTTGAACGATATTCGTCCAAAAGAGGCGCATTTCAATTTTCTCCCATTGACTTATAATGGAGAGGTCGCAAAATTGACCTGACCTTAGGTCACAGATATCAAAAATCCGAGATATACATTTTATACATACTGTTACTCATATCAATCGCTGAAAGTTTCAAAGTGATCGTTCAGTCGGTGTAGCTATAGCGAGCCTTTGAACTTTTTCTGAGGTAAGGTCACTTGACGTGACCTGGTGACCTGACCTTGAACGGCCTAGGTCTGAAATTTTCACAACATGTGCGGAAATGATGTAGGAACACGTGTACCAAAAACGGCGGCGCTGCGCGCCGCCGTTTTTGAGATATTCGCGAAAAACCTGAGGGGGGGGGGGCGTAAAAACGCCCCCCCCCCAGCACGGCGCGGGTTAATAACAATATACAATAAACAAACTACAATAACAAATAAACGAAACACATACAATAAAGTTGCTCCCTTTAATAGCGATTAGCGTGAAAGTTCAAAGTCAATTGAGCACCCTGAAATGCGATAATGGCAAAAGCAGCATGACAATTTTGTTACAAAGCACAGATCGACAAAATGCAAAAGCGCATAACGGAAAGCGAAAAAAGTGTAGCTTACACTTCAAATAAAATAGCCGGGAAAAACTAAAACGAATAAATAAAACGGCCGGGAATAGCCGGGTTATCATTTTCTGACAGACGGCCTTCAGTTGTTTAACCCGCGCCCCAGTGGCGGTCTCAGCCAACTTCGCCCTAGTGAGGGGGGGGGGGGGGCATATGTTACCACCCGCCTCTAACTCAAAAACTAAGAGGGCTAGAAAGACGCGGTAAAAAGCAGTCGATAGCTCTCAATGCGTACGTTTGAAAGTATGTCGGTCATTTTTCACCTTAGAGCAATATTGGGGTCACCAGAGGTCATCAAAGGTCAAAATTTGCTAATTGTCATTATATTTTTTCAGAAAACATGCCGCTATCTCAGGAACTATGGTGGCTAGAAAAACGCATGGAAGAGAAAACGATAGCTTTTGAACTTTTCTTTTGAAAAGGTCATTATCAATATTGACCTCAGGTCAACGGTTTAGCCTCCAGAGGGCAAAAACTCCAAAAATAGCTGTTTTTAAGGAAAGTGTTTTTCGACAATAACCTGCGACTACAAAAAGCCACGACATTTCTATGGCCAGAATCGTGTTCCCCTCGCCGAGACGCGTCGAATGAACTATAATATGACCTTGACAGGTCAACTTGAAAATTTGACCTCAGGTCAAGGTCATGACCTGACCGGAAAAGGTCATGTTGCACATCAGTCGATGCGTCTCAACAAAACAAACACAATGAGACCATCCCCAGCGTTCTATCTCTTTCCAATCGCGAGTTATTGGCAAAAAACTGTTTGTAGCCTCAAGTGACCTCGGATGACCTGTCTAGAGGCTATCAGCAAAAATGACACCTTGGTCATCACGAGTGGACTAAATCATTGTGATTCTGAAATATTTGGACTGTTCCGATGCGTACACACGGATCTAGAGGCATTTTCATTTTTCTCCCTTGACTTGTAATGGAAAGGTCACGCCACTGACCTGACCTTAGGTCACGGATATAAAAAATCCGAGATATACAAATTGTAGGCGCCCATAACAGCATGCAATCCACCAAGTTTAAAACCTTTCTGACAAACACTGCAGGCTGGACATGATTGCAAACTTTTTTTTAGGCTTAGTCAGTTAACTTGACCTGGTGACCTGACCTGACATAACCTGGGGTCAAAAATTTCACACATTGTCCAAAATTGATGTACCAAAAGCTACCCCAAGCGGCGCGGCGCTACGCGCCGTGGTTTTTTAGTCACACGCAAAAAACGCGACAGGGTGGTAACATATGCCCCCCCCCCACTGGGGCGAAGGTTAATTCCTGCCCCAGCTTAGCACCCCTCCGTATGTGGACGTTATCCTCCCGCCCCTGGACGTCCATTGTTGCCACCAAGGTCGTCTCAGCCCTTCTGCAAACAACCGGTCAGCGGCGGTCCGAGACGCTGCACGTTAGACCCACCTCGGCCCGCTGAATTATAAATGGCACGTCCTGCGGCTGAGGCACGGTCCCGACTCACGTGACGCGTCACGCTACAGTGGGCCGTGACGCCGACCTCTAGATGGCCGTCCGGAACGACTATGACCCTCCCTAGGGGGTCGTCTGCGTCACCAGGAGTGGCGGATGGACGTGACACCGGCCCGGTACCGCCCGCCCGGCCGTCCCATTTCCTCATCACCAGCCCCTTACAGCCCCAAAGACCGACTCCGGCAGCTCACGGCACGGAACTCGAGGGTCTTTCATACCTTACGACATCGATTTCCTGCTAGCCCACTTTCGCAGGCCGTGAAGAAGTACCCTCCCGCCGGGTCCGACCTACCACCAGCAGTCGGTGGGCGTCGTCCAGCGCCTTGGCGGCCGGCAGGGTGACGGTCCGGTAGAGCTCGAGCCGGCGGCGGCAGGCGGCCACTGTGTCGTCCAGGTCCTCCCGTCTGCCCAGCGTGCGTCCCAGCTCCAGCTCGGAGCAGTCGAGCAGAACAATGTCCGACTGTCGCCCGTGCTGACGGAGGAGGGGAGGACAGAGAGCGTCAGAGGTCACACTGAGCTAGACAAGGACAGGGTACACCGTTACCGGTAACCCACTCTGCGGACGAAAGAGACCAATGCAGCACATATACGCCGAGTGGAAGTGTGCAAAGTTATCAATTTAAAGTTTCTTACTAGAGTTGTTCTGTCGCATCTGTCTCTTACCTCTATCTCGAACATTTCGAGCTGCTCCAGACTTCGTGGGAATCCGGATATGATGAACCCCTTGGAAGATGAGTTCTGCTCCATCGCGTTTGAGAGGCAGCTCAGAACAAGACTCTGAAAGCGACAGGGACGTGACATTTCAAATCAGTCTTCACAGCAAAAGGGTGATCGGTGAAACCCACACTAGTCGATGTATGTATATGTATAACGGTTGTAATGTCATTCAATAGGGAGCGGCATCGTTTCCCCGTTTATTTTGGCGGCATGGTCAAAAGATAAAACCGGATATTGTCGACACCATTGTAACCAACATATGTCACCCGCATTGGCCGCAATAAATTAGAATTTCATACATTCATGGCATGGTCGTTAAACTAAATCAACCTTTAGGCATCACCTTTGGTTGCATGTTTAGCTGGCTTCTTGAAGTTTGAAACGGACAAAACTACACCTTCCCATTCCAAGCTCCGAGTCAATAAAGTCGGCATGCCTCTCTAATCCTATCCCAACTCAATGCCCAGTGCTGAGTGCTCTTACCTATGTGAGAAGCTCGTCGGCACTGAAGGGAAGCTCGCTGCCTACCTGCGGGAGAAGCTCGCCCCTTACCTGGGAGAGAAGCTCGTCCCCTACTTGGGGGAGAAGCTCGCCGGCCACTGACCTGCGGTAGGAGCTCCCCGGCCACTGACCTGCGGGAGGAGCTCGCCGGCCACTGACCTGCGGTAGGAGCTCACCGGCCACTGACCTGCGGTAGGAGCTCCCCGGCCACTGACCTGCGGGAGGAGCTCGCTGGCCACTGACCTGCGGTAGGAGCTCGCCGGCCACCAGCAGCTGTCGGACAGCTGCCAGCTCGGGCGCATCGCGCACCAGCTGCTCGGAGACCAGGTCGCGCAGCATCCAGCTGCAGCTGAGGTGCGTCCAGCCGGGGTAGAGCGGCGCCACGTGCTCACAGTGCGCCGACTTGTTACTGCCCGGCCCGCCTGGCAGCACGCACAGCAGATAGGCACGCTATTGAAAACTAACCCGCCGAGCAGGATTAGCCCGAATGAACCTTTTCACGGCCGGACCTGGTCGCTCTTACTCTGAATCATATTAACCCGCGCCCCAGTGGCGGTCTCAGCCAACTTCGCCCTAGTGGGGGGGGGGGGGGGCATATGTTACCACCCACCTCTAACTCAAAAACTAAGAGGGCTAGAAAGACGCGGTAAAAAGCAGTCGATAGCTCTCAATGCGTACGTTTGAAAGTATTTCAGTCATTTTTCATCTTAGAGCAATATTGGGGTCAACAGAGGTCATTACAGGTCAAAATTTGCCAATTGTCATTATACTTTTCAGAAAACATGCCGTTATCTCAGGAACTATGGTAGCTAGAAAAACGCATTGTATAGCAATCGATAGCTTTTGAGCTCTTCTTTTGATAAGGTTATTATCAAAATTCACCTCAGGTCCACGGTTTAGCCTCCAGAGGGCAAAAACTCCAAAAATAGCTGTTTCTACGAAAAGTGTTTTTAAACAATAACTTTCGACTACAAAACGCCACGACATTTCTATTGCCAGAATCGCGTTCCTCTCGCCGAGACGCGTCGAATGAACTATAAGTTAACCTTGAAAGGTCAACTTGAAAATTTGACCTCAGGTCAAGGTCATGACCTGACCGGAAAAGGTCATGTTGCACATCAGTCGATGCGTCTCAACTAGACAAACACAATGAGGCCATCCCCAGCATTCTAGCTCTTTCCAATCGCTAGTTATTGGCAAAAATATGTTTGTAGCCTCAAATGACCTCGGATGACCTTTCTAGAGGCTATCAGCAAAAATGACACCTTGGTCATCACGGGTGGTCCAAATCATTGTGATTCTGAAACATTTGGACTGTTCCTATGCGTACACACGGATCTAGAGGTATTTTCATTTTTCTCCATTGACTTGTAATGGAAAGGTCACGCCACTGACCTGACCTTAGGTCACGGATATAAAAAATCCGAGATATACAAATTGTAGGCGCCCATAACATCATGCAATCCACCAAGTTTGAAACCTTTCTGACAAACACTGCAGGCTGGACATGATTGCAAACTTTTTTTAGGCTTGGTCAGTTAACTTGACCTGGTGACCTGACCTGACATGACCTGGGGTAAAAAATTTCACACATTGTCCAAAACTGATGTACCAAAAGCTACCCCAAGCGGCGCGGCGCTACGCGCCGCGGTTTTTTATTTACACGCAAAAAACGCGACAGGGTGGTAACATATGCCCCCCCCCACCACTGGGGCGAAGGTTAAGGGATGAATGCATCGGTGAACTTTACAATGCCTTGGCTCGTGTCTGTTAACAGCCTGCTTTACTGTTCGTGCTAGGTCCAATGAAAGTGCTGATAGTGAATGTACATAGCCATAAAGGAACACCAATTTTATTATTTGTTCAAACGATGGTCATATGAATGCTCATCTTTCTTTCGAACACCAGCCATAAAATGGCCTTTTTGTGTAATAGTTATTGCCCATAAACGTGATTGATGCTATTTGATGACACTTTAGGCCCAAAGCTAATGATCCCTGGCGCTGCGTCGGTACACCTACCCCGGCCCCCCGTCAAGGTTTTGTCCAACCAGCTTCGGGCCGTTGTGTTGACCTTTCCGTTTATGTAATGACTGAACAGTGAGCACAAGCCCAGATCGATATGATCCATGAATTGTAACATGTGTGCCGCGGCCACGGCTATTACTCATACAGTGGATGGATAGAGCGTCAACACAGACGCGGCATTGCATTGAGGGCATTGGCCACCATCTCGATATGACGCAGTTTACAAATTTAGCTACAAGCTGATATAAGTGGATCCAGAAGGCAGCTGTGGAGTGTGGGCGCTGCATTAAAAAACGTATTCGGCACAATCGGCTCACTCACCGATGACGAATATGACTGGCGGCGACCGGCGCACCCCCGGGGTGAGGGCGGGTGAGGTCACCCTCAGACGAGAGCGGGGTCGCTGAGAGCCGCGACTGTTGACGCCGAGATCTGCCCGGGGCACCGGCCAGGTCAGAGAGAGAGAGAGAGAGAGAGAGAGAGAGAGAGAGAGAGAGAGAGAGAGAGAGAGAGAGAGAGAGAGAGAGAGAGAGAGAGAGAGAGAGAGAAAGAGAGAGAGAGAGAGAGAGGGAGAGAGGGAGAGAGAGAGAGAGAGAGAGAGAGAGGAGAGAGAGAGAGAGAGAGAGAGAGAGAGAGAGAGAGAGAGAGAGAGAGAGAGAGAGAGAGAGAGAGAGAGAGAGAGAGAGAGAGAAAGAGAGAGAGGGAGAGAGAGAGGGAGGGAGAGAGAGAGGAGAGAGAGAGAGAGAGGAGAGAGAGAGAGAGAGAGAGAGAGAGAGAGAGAGAGAGAGAGAGAGGAGAGAGAGAGAGGGAGAGAGGGAGAGAGGGAGAGAGGGAGGGAGGGAGGGAGGGAGAGAGAGAGAGAGAGAGAGAGAGAGAGAGAGGAGAGAGAGAGAGAGAGAGAGAGAGAGAAGAGAGAGAGGGAGAGAGAGAGAGGGAGGGAGAGAGAGAGGAGAGAGAGAGAGAGAGAGAGAGAGAGAGAGAGAGAGAGAGAGAGAGAGAGAGAGAGAGAGAGAGAGAGAGAGAGAGAGAGAGAGAAAGAGAGAGAGGGAGAGAGAGAGGGAGGGAGAGAGAGAGGGAGGGAGAGAGAGAGGAGAGAGAGAGAGAGAGAGAGAGAGAGAAAGAGAGAGAGAGGGAGAGCGAGATAAAGGGAGAGACGTTGGAGACGGAACACTTGCAGCAGGCAGGCCATATCGCATGCGACCAATCGATCAAAGGAGTGCGTCGGAAGACTTTTGATTTAAGGTGAACACGGCGTATGCAGCATGTTGGTTTGCAGGTTCATCGTGACATCGTCTACACTTCGTTGAAATCGAGAAACGGAGACCAAATCAATAAGTGAAATTTTTGGCTATTTATGAAATTATCTACCGGAAAACTGGCGTTGAAATGGACCTTGAGTGCTTCGGAACAAAAGCTGCTTGCGTTTCCAATGTAACATTTCAAAACTATTGTGAACATCCACTATGTAGTACAGGAGAAAATGTGCAGTTTATAGCCAGCATTTATTGACATCGATGTGCTTGATTTAGGAAAACTATAGATAGGTACTTGCAATAAAATTATTGTGCTTCATGCAAGACTAACGCCCATGTTTCCTTTTGCTGTCGACAAACTCAAAGCGCAGAATGATCATTGATCATACATGGTCATTGGTCAGTTTATAGACCGCGCGGCATAGTACTACATTTACGCGAGAAATCGGAAATCGTTAGGCAGGCGCGTTCCCCGATAATGGTTTCCTCAGCACCTACAACACAACATAGACAAAGGACAAAACGCTCTCTCCTATTGAGAACGCATATAGTGCATCACGAAGTATGTACCTCTAACAAAATATCGAGTTTTGCTTCACAGTGTTGATAGGGGGCAAACAAGATTCACACGGATAAGTAGATTGAAGCTGATTTTTTTCCGCGAAATCGTGGTCATGAGTTTTTGTCGCACTAACTATATCAATTGATCACTTATCGAGACTTCCACTGGCAGACATTTGACATGTCACAAAAGAGCGATCACGATTCATGCAGACATCTAACATCGAAAGCTCTTAGTCTCTGGACCACTTAACATTTAGTGCGTAATGAAGGGCTTACCAATTTCCAAGAACCGTCTGAACGACTCTGGGAGACAAACCACACTGTTGATGACATGATTTCCCCTTTAAGTATTTAAAGGGGATATTTAGTTCTGTTACTCGCATCGGGTTTTAACCATAGTGCAATATGAGCGCAACAGTAAACCAGCCAATAATAGTGATTTGAAAATGACCGCTAGAGCACTACCTATTCCTTATTCCAGGTTGCTGCGTACGTAAGTACTTACCTACTCAACAAAACTGCTGCTAAGACATGTCTAGCTTGTTACTTACTATTTCCTACGTGTAAAGAGATAAAAAGTCAAGGTTTCTTAGAAGAAGCAGATCACACAGGGTTACTTACCATTGTTTTGATTTTGATCAGGATGAAGCGTTGAGGCACTTTCTATGAGCTTGGAGATTATTCTATCCATTTCTGTGACTATGTCTTGGACGGAGAAATCTGCTACGTTTATCTGTGAAAGCCAGTGTTGCGGCGTATAATGCTGTTATACTGACCCGCGCGCACCGACGGGGGTCTGCGCCAACTTCGCACCGACGGGGGGGGGGGCGGATGACCGCCCCCCTGAGATCTCGAGAACGAAGCAAGATAGCGACAAGCGGTAAACGGCATCGGATACGCACGGTCAAGATCTACAATTTTTACTAAGGTCATTTTCAGGTCAGGTCAAAGATGACGTCACAGGGGTCGAAAAAGTCAAAATGGCGGTGCTAGATATGGAGAGAGTTTTTCTCGAATAACTTTCGAATTAGTCAAGATAGGAACAAACTAAGGGCATCATCGTGATCCTCTCGTCAATCCGCATCGAATGATATATATGTTGACCTCGAAAGGTCAAGGTCAAAGGTTGACCTCAGGTCACGTGACCTCGAGGTCAACATGTATATCATTCGATGCGTCTTGACGAGCTGAACACAATGAGACCATCCACGCGGCTGTATCTTGTTCCTGTACGGAGTTATTGGCCAAAAACCTTTGGTGACCTTTGATGACGTCACATGACCTCACAGCTGCCCAACAGCAAAACAGACCTCAAGGTAGTGAAGGTTGATCGTATATGAAGTCATTTATGGTATATGGGGCCATTCCGACCCGTTTTAGTGGTAAAAATAGGGAGTTGATTTTCCCCCATTGACTTATTATGGGGAGGTCGCGAAATTGACCTGACCTTAGGTCACCGATATCAAAATTTCGAGATATAAAAATTGTAGATACTAATGACCTTATAACATCCTGCGACTTTCAAAGGCCTTCGACATCTACTGTAGCTCTGGCACGGTGACAAAGTTGCAAAAAAGTGACTTGAGGTTGGGTCATTCAAAGTGACCTGGTGACCTGACCTCAAAAGGTAGGAGGTTCAAACTTGCACACCATGTGTAAAATTGATGAGGGAATAGTCATACCAAATTTCGCGGCGCGTAGCGCCGCCGTTTTTTTCCGCTATTCGCGAAAAACCTCAGGGGGGGGGGGCGGATATCCGCCCCCCCGTCGGTGCGCGGGTTAATATCAACCATTTAAGTGATTACAAGACGATTGACTCTCGGTCGAACCTTTAAGGTCTATTTGCTTAAATAATAGATCTATCTCTGTACCACACTGCTGAGGGACAGAGTCAAGCGCACGAGCCTTTGACTTTGACTGGACGTGGCCGCTTCAAACAATCGCAGAACTCTTTCCAGATATAACGCCTTGCCGCTTCTCTGAGAGTTTAGATATGCCCATAATAATTCGCCCATAGCCAGTGAGAGACCGAACAGGCTTCCCTGCAGCTGCCTACCTTGTGGAGCACCTGGTAGTTGTGCATGACGTCCGCCAGCGGTGTGACGTTGGTCAGAAACTCGTTCAGCTCCTGTTCACCGGCCTCCGGGGTCAGCACACCCGTCTGAGGTCAGAAAGTCAATGAGCGAGTAAGATGCTGCACTCGAGCGTGGCCAATGTTAACCCTCGCCGGCCGAGGGGGGGGGGGCGGGTGCCGCCCCCCCATAGGGTTTTTTCGCGATAGCTCCGAACACGCTGGCGATAGAGAGCTGAAACTTGGCATACCTGACCTTTGATCCAAGCCGCATCTTTTGACACCAACCGCATTTTTGGGTCAGGTCAGGTCACTGACCTATGACGTCATAAGTGAACCTCTGCACGGTCTTCAGATGTCGCAACTTCGCAACGCCCTCACTGCCAGAGGAGATGTCACAGGGAAATGAAACTTGCAGGATCTAGTATCCATTATGAGTCCCACAACTTGTATATCTCGGATTTTTCCTAAAGGTCATATGAGGTCAGGTCATTTTCGTGACCTCACCATTATAAGTCAATGGGGAAAAATTCAAACTGCTATTCTGGCACCGGGAACGATCTCCAACTATCTCAAGCACACAGAATCGTGATTTTATGCACTCCTTGCAAGGTTAGATGCGTCACTTTTGCAATGTTGACCTTGCGTGACGTCATTTATGACGTCATCAAGGTCATATTAGTTTTTCGTCAATAACTCTTGATCAAATTGAGCTAGCGAGTCGGGAAAGCCACCAATGGACTCAGGAAGACCTGCCAAATCGAATGATATGCGACATGACCCCTTTCGACCAACTTCGTGACCTGGAGGTGCTGACCTGACCTTGACCTGAGGTCAACACCCCAAGTTGACCTGACCCGGACAAAAAGTATATCATTCGACGCGCCTGAGCGAGACGAACACGATGCTGCCAAAATCGGCGCTCTGCGGCCGTTTTTGGCGAAGTTATTCACCAAAAACTGAACCGTACCTTGGGGCACTTGACCTGACCTCAGAGGTCACCGGTTGACCTAGGACCTTAAAATCGGGTACCAATCTCTGCGTCTCGTAACGGCGCACACGCTCGTTTTTTCCGCGACGCGCTAGCTCCACCAGGGGCGAAACGGCGAGGGGGGGGGGTCGTACCCGCCCCCCCCCTCGGCCGGCGCGTATGTAGAAAACCAATAGGTCCGGCGAGGGTTAAATATCAGGACTAACAAGGTGACCAGTTTAACAAAGAAAATGTGGTCATAGATGCATGCTGCAGCCACATCGGTGCTAAAATTAGCCGTCATCCAGGAAGGTCACATATCACCATTTCCATGTTTTTTATCCTTTCTCCTTATTTACCTGAACCCCATCGTCGACGAGCATTTTCAGCCTCTCCGGCTGGTGGTCGAGAAGTATCACCCCGTCCAGGCGTGCTATCTGCAAAACAAGAACGTCAGGCGGCAATAATAAACCAGTGACTGCTGTGGGAACATACTGCGGCGTATAAAACAGCGATAAGACTGAGACTGTCAATGCAGAGACCATCAGTATCGCTTGGCTTACCTTTTTCGTGCAATCCACGGCGTCTTCAATGTTCCTCGGGAAGCCGGATATCACAAACCCCCGCCGGACCGGCGAGGCCTTCAGCCTGGCAGTCAGAATCTCCACGGCAGACGACGACGGAACCATGCTACCGCTCTCCAGGTCTGAAAAGGAAACGTTACTTCAAAAAGAAATAAACACAGCAGAACGTTAAGAAATCATACCACCTAGTTGTCTCGTATCTTGAATTGTGAAACTAGTGGAGACGTATCCATATGAAAATGATATCGTCTCGTACCTACTTGTACTTTGTATAGAAAATTATAATTTTTATTAACGATAAATTATTTTGTACGTTGTCGAGCGAGAACTGACCGAAATGTTTGGCGTAGTCCTTCAGCACCTTGGTCATGGAGATGTGTGCCAGCTTGCCGTTCGACCTCTGCGTCACGGCCTCGGAGAGTGTCACCTTCCCCGTCCCGGGACCGCCTGACAGCGGACAAAGGCGCGTGAGAGTGTCACCTTCCCCGTCCCGGGACCGCCTGACAGCGGACAAAGGCGCGTGAGAGCGTCACCTTCCCCGTCCCGGGACCGCCTGACAGCGGACAAAGGCGCGTGAGAGCGTCACCTTCCCCGTCCCGGGACCGCCTGACAGCGGACAAAGGCGCGTGAGAGCGTCACCTTCCCCGTCCCGGGACCGCCTGACAGCGGACAAAGGCGCGTGACACACGCTGATGACACACGGTCATGTGACGGGCAACCAGCCACACGCTGACACGCACTCACACATGGAAACTGTTCTCGGACGCCCACACGCCTGTGATCCACTTCCCGGGTCGGGATGATGCTGTATTTCTAGAAAATTTGTCAGAAACAGAAGAACATTAGCAACTTCGAAATATTTTCAGTTTGTTTAATGCAAGCAACAACGGACTTACTAATTTCCTACTGCTTCACAGGCAATTGACATAATTGCCTCCATTATATTCCATGATATACATTAACTCTTTGATTGCAGAGGTGTTTACCGCCTGTAGTGGCCGACGCCCGGTTACGGCCGAGCCATGTGGTGGCCACGTGCGTCCGGTGGTCCCGCTCGAGGCGAGGCCCGGCTCGGGTCACGTGAGGGCCCGCTGTCGTGATTGGCCGCCGCCGGCGTGTGCCGCGAGGGAGGAACGAGGTGACCTGGGGCCGGTGCTCGCTGCGCCGGCCCACTCTCTGTCTGTGACTCGTGCGGTGAGGACGGTAAAGAACAAATACAGCGTCCTACTAAGTGCATCTTTGTGTGGTGGGCGGTGACATAAGTGGCGGAAGACGGTGCGAGCAGTGCTAATCGTGGCTGCTCCTGATACCTGTCTTTATGTCCTGGGGCCCACTACTTTCTCTCTCCTTTTCTCATTGAGGGTGTGGAGGGAGGCGGCTGCGGTGTCTCGCCATCGAGTCATCGAAGCTGACCGCGAGTGACGTGTCTCGCCATCGGGATACAACACTCGTGGCCTCCTCGTTCCTGGGGCGGCCAGTCGGTTTCGGTCAATCTCGCCATCGAGATCCCGGAGCATCTCAGATCCGTCTGACCACAGCAGCCTCGCCATCGAGGGGCTGTGGTCACTCGGCGGCTACCGCATTCCTTCCCATCCTCTACCAAAATCCACTTTCTCCTCACCCTGCACCACAGCCAGTCAGCCAAATCAAGTGTCGCTGTACGCAACTACAGACCAGAGGACGGCGTGGCGACATTTTCTGGTCCTCCGGCCGGATCTCAACCGGAGATCCCATCGCAACTGCTGAATGGATGCAGAATACAGTTGTGAAACTCAAGCAGTCGATCCTACAATGGCTGAAGCTCAGCGTGCCGCCAAGGATCAGGAGCTTGCTGACCTGCGCCGACTGCGTGGATGCAAGAGGGCTGCTACGACAAGGGCCAGCAAAGCAGTAGAAGTAGAGATAACAAGACATGCTAATCGTGACCGCATCCATCAGGTCAGCGCAAGACTAGAAGAAGCATTTGCCGATTTGCGAAAGACTCATCAGACATATGAAAGCAAGCTGGGAGACGAAGAGATTGAAGAAGCTCAAGCATATGCCGATCATTTCGAAGAAGAAGAGCTAGCCATCCAGGGCAAGATTCAACAATATCTCCAAGAGCTGGACGAAGTTCGTTCATCAGCTACCACTTCCCGCCGTGGGCCGAGTCACGCCAAGTCACATACGTCAGCAGGGACGGCCGCTTCAGTCCGATCAAGAGTGGTCGCCGTAGAATTGGAGGATGCGGATCGCAAGCTACAAGACGTCAGGGCCCAGGTAGAAGAAAGTCGCCGTAACATGATGGAGAGGCAAAGGGCGGAGAAACGCCAACGTGAAGCTCAGCTCGAAATGGAGAATCTCCGACAACAAGAAGAGTGGGAGCTTCAAGAGCGCGACAGTGCACTTCAGCTGAAGATAGCTGAAGAGACTCGAAATCGAGCAGCAAGAAAGGTCCGTCTCTATCGCGCTGCTGAAGATGACCTGAATTGGGATCGTCGTCATGACTTTGACGAAGCTGTCGCTGGGATGGGAGAAGAAGCAAAGCCAACACGTGAAGGTGTCTGTGAGGGCACTGCGACATCCATGGGTAACTGCGGCATGCACTCTCAGCGTGATCAACAGAGGGACGAGCGGCAGGAAGGTCACACCGCTGCCACACACCATTTGGCAAACGAAGACTGCGCTGTGAACGACGCCGTGCAGCCGACGACAGTCGATCAAGCTGCGACTGGGGCACCACTTGAGGCCTCAGCTGGAAGTGCAACCACAACCCTAGATCCCAGTACCTGGATGATTCCAGATGTTTCTCAAGAGCAAGCACGCTCGAGTCAGTCAACAGCGTTCTCCAAGAGTGTACCGAGCCTCAGCCTCCACACCTATCGAGGGGATCCCGCTGACTGGCCTCGATGGATCAGCCTCTTTAAAGTGCTGGTCCACAATCAGACATCGCTGACGAATGCAGAGCGGATGACTCATCTGCAGCAAGCAGTTGAGGGCCCTGCCCACCAAGCCATTGAAGGGCTTTTGTTTGATGGATCGCTGTACGAGCAAGCACTGAAGACGCTATATGAACGTTTCGGTCGGAAAGACGAAATCAGCCAGGCAAGTCTCAATCAGATGTTTTCTACCCCAGCACCAAGTGTGAATAGCTTGGCGTCAATGGAGAGGTTCAGCTCCGCCATCAGCAACACGGTCATGACTCTGCGAGCCCTGGGCTACTATCATGATCTGGGGGCAAGCGACACCCTCCGCAGAGTGATTGCCAAGCTCCCTGACGAGCTGACTTATCAGTGGGGCCAAGAAGTCTACAGGATGCGACCAAACCAGCCCAATCTGGAGATGTTTAGCGAGTGGCTGAAGATCCAGGTGAACGTGTTGAGCTACACCACTCGCCCGAGCCGTGACCCCGAAAAGAGGAAGACTGTGGTGACTCCGAAAGAGACCATGACGAGGCGGACGACATTGGCCACTTCCGCATCCTCACCGCGTGAGGAAAGCCATAGGCTCAGGCCTTGCGTCGTCTGCGAAAGGGAGCACAAACTGGAAAACTGTCCTGATTTTCAAGCCCAGGCGCTGGAGGAAAAGCTCGTGACTGTGAGACGGGAGCGACTGTGCTGGGCGTGTCTCAGGAAGGGGCACTTCGTCAGATCGTGTAGATCTGCCAAGCGCTGTGGCACAGATGGATGCAGGGCGACACATCACAAGCTTCTACATACGCCCAGAGGTGATTCAGGGGGCGGGGAGAGCAGCGGCAGAACAGAGAATCGCCTGAACAGAGAAGATCCGATCGTTGGTGCAGCCATGACGGAAGCCACAGACACGCTTCTACAACTGGTTCCTGTCAGAGTTCACGGCCCGAGCGGTGACAAGGATCTTGTCGCTCTTCTGGATCCGGGGGCGCAAACGTCACTCTGCTGTGAGAAGGTGCTGCAAGAAATCGGTGTGAAGGGGGAGCGTGAAGAGCTCAGACTTCAGAACGTCGAAGGAAGCGGACAGAGACAGTCATCCATCCGTGTTCCGTTGACAGTCAGCCCTATTTCTGCCGATGCCAAAGAGGGCCACATCGTAATCCCGGAAGTTTGGTCTGTGCCAGGATTGAATGTTACTCCACCCAGCATCAGCCGACGACAGACCTCCAGCTGGAAGCATCTGCAGGGTCTCGACTTTCCTCAGTACAGTGGTGCACGTGTCGAGCTGCTGCTCGGGGCCAACATACTGGAAGCTGTCCTGCAACGGGAGATCAGAGTGGGAGGTACCGGCCAACCGGTCGCAGTGAGGACAGATTTCGGTTGGACCCTGACTGGATCTGTGTCGGCACTGGTACCCCGTAGTACGCGGCACGTCATGTTTGTACGCAAACAGTCAACAGATGAAGAGAACCTGAGTGAGCTGGTTCAAGAGTGGTGGACCACTGAAGCCTTTGGCACGAAGATCAACGTCAAGGACGCAAGATCTCAAGAAGATCTCCGTGCATTGGCTCTATTGGATCGAGAGACCAAAAAGGTCGGGGAGAGATACGAAACCTGCTTGCTGTGGAGTGAGGAAAATCCGACGTTCCCCGACAACTCAAGACAGGCGTACTACCGGCTAACATCAACAGAAAGGAAACTGGAAAAGCATCCAGAACTGGCAGACAACGAAGAAGAACAAAAACAGGCGACGTCAAAGAATGTCATCGCAGCATCAACACGACCAGAAGAACCGGACCCAGCGAAGTATTCATCGTGGATCAAGTACAAGCGAGTTGTCGGCTGGATCAAGCGTTTTGTGCACAACCTGAAGGCGTTCTTGCCTGGCCGACAACCTCCATTATCAGGTCCACTATCACGCTCTGAGATGGTGGAGGCCGAAGTATGGATCATCAGACAAGAGCAGCTCACGACGCATGGGGAAGAACTCCGATGTCTGGAACAGCGACGGCCGATCCAGACTTCCAGTCCTCTGCTCTCGCTGACACCGATCTGCGACAGCAATGGCCTGGTCCGTGTTGGAGGACGCATCGGGAAAGCATCTATTCCCGAGGAGTCCCGACATCCGATCATCCTGCCGAGGAAAAGCGAGCTCGCCAGGCTCATCATCATGCAAGAGCATGTCCGTCATGGTCATGCGGGGACAGAACACACGCTGAATGAAGTACGGCAGAAGTTCTGGATTCCCCAAGGACGCGCAGAGGTGAAGAAGCAGCTCCGCAGTTGCCTCTATTGTCATCGACGCAGAGCTGCTCCGGCGCCACCAAGGATGGCTGACCTTCCCGCTCAGAGACTCGAAGCCGATCATCCGTTCAAGAACGTGGGTGTGGACTTCTTTGGACCACTGCGAGTGAAGCGGTTCCGAAGAACTGAGAAGCGATACGGACTGCTGATAACGTGCTTGGCGACCCGTGCTGTTCATCTGGAGGTGACACATTCGCTGGAAGTGGACAGCTGCATCATGGTCCTCAGACGCTTCTTCTCTCGCAGATCCCA